GCCTGTCAGTTTCACCTGTCTGTTGCCTGCGTCTTTGTCCGTGCTCAGGGGCCCACAGCTGGCCTGTCTCTCCTCGTGCACTCGCTGTCGAGTGCACACACGTGCACACAGGTCACTCCGGTGCAGAAGGGCGCTTTTTGAGAGGCAGTTACAGCAGCCTACCTGGGGCGTGGTGACTGGACAGGGCTTGGCAGGTAGCAGAGGTCTCTCTGGCAGACTTTGGGGGACCTCAGCCTAGGAGGAATGGCTCCCCCACCCCAACGCTGAAGGACCCACGGGAGCTTCTGAATGTGCCCAACGTCCCGCTGTGGCCTCCCACCCCGAGGAAAGGGTGCTAAGTGGGTGAGAGCCCAGCTGGAGGAAGTGGAGCCTGCTTAGCTGCAGCCGCAGGGCCAGCAGGACTGCCGGAGGGCTGGAGGGTGCCTGGGGCAGGAACACAGCGGCTCTGCCTCTGTTGGCCTTGTGGCCTGTCCTGGGCCACCAGGCCGTCCTGCCTCAGCAGTTTTATGACCCCTGGGGAGATAACACCCTGCAGGGAGGCAGTCTGTCCTGAGGAGAATGTTCCTCTTCACTCGAACCTCAGGGCTAGGCCAGCGCCAGCCTGGTTTCTGATCAGATGGATCCTGAAGGGGAGAGAGCATGGACATCCTGGAGGCATCTCGCAGCAGGGCTGGAGGGGAAGGGGCAGAGAAAGCAGCAGGGTCAGGGGCTTCTCCTGAAGGCACGAGGAGGAAGGGAGGTTTGGCGGGGTAGATTTGGAAACAGAGGGGTGTGGGCTTCTGGACACCCTAGCTGGGTGGGGGCGGCACAGGAGGAAGCCAAGCCCAAGCCAGTGCACGTGCTCAGTGCTTCTGGGGGCTAGAGAACCAGGGAGCCAGGCTGCACTGCATGGTTTGCTTACGTGTTTCTTTCTTTCCCTAAGTTGGGTCCCACAGCCATGGGGCATTCAGGGTCTGTGCTCCTGGCTGAGGAGCAAGACCTGGGCCATCATGGAGACCCTGGCCTGTTTGTTTTCTTCCCCAACTTGCTGGTCTCCCTCCTTCCCTCCTTCCCCCACTCCCTCTTGTCTTTTTTCTTTTCTTAGAAAGAAAGAGGCCGCCTTTGGAGGTGGAAGGGTGGCCAGCAGAACAACCGCAGTCACTGCAGCTCTCCTCCACGAGGCTCTCCGGCAGCCTGGCCTGGAGGAGTTGCTGCCCGCATTACCGGAGCCTGCACTTTATTAGAATTTATACGTTGCCCCGACTGAGGGGGAAAATAATTAACACCCCTACAAATATATCGTAAACAAAATATTTATTAGAAATAAATAACTCATTTATTTTACATATTTCATTTCAACAATAACATTACCCAATTTATCATTTAACATTTTTGCAAGACAACTTAACGACTACTTATTAGCATTTCCATTTTTCACCCGCGCACCATGACGCACAGGCGCTCCCCAAATGGCCTGGCACAGGCCGAGCCAGGAGCTAGGAAGGCCCTGGGGAGGGCTGCGGACTCCCGGGCCTCCCTTTCTTACACACTCCACACACGCGGGAGAGCAAGCACACCCAGTCACGCTCCTACACGCACCTTCTCCCATGTGAACACGGAGCAGCTCCCCCAGAAGAGACACGAACGTGCAGGTTGGTGCCCTGCCTGGTTGCAAACATTCCTCTCATATGGACTCCATGACCCTGCACCCACACAGTGCGCATGGACACACGTACATACATGCGCAGATTCCCCAAGCCCCACTGCACGCACAGTCCCTGGCCACAGCCTGCGCCTGCCGCAGGTCCCAGTGCTGGGGGCAGAGAGGAACAGTGGCCTCCCCCTCTTCCAGAGTCCGGTGGGGCAGGGGAGAGGCAAGGGCCAGGCCCAGGCTCCTCAGTACTCTCTGCAGCTTTGGGCCTTCCTCTGTGTGCTCCTCTTTTCCTGGCTCAGTAAGGATTTCCTGGGATCCAGGACCCACGTACTCCAAACTTCTGTTCTGCTTCGGATGGTTAACCTGAAGAGCCAGGCCTGGGTCTTTCCCTCCTCCACCCTCGAGCTTTCTCTCAGAAGGAGGTACAGTGGACCCTCAGGTTACGACTGGCCTGACATACAAACAGCTTGGGTTACGGCTGGAATTTTAGTTTTAACTTAGGAACAAAGTCTTGAGTTACAAACTGAATGGAAGCAGCTTGTGCTTCCAGATGGTCTCAGATACAGATTTAACCCTTGAAAAGCTCTGGAAGAAACATGACAACATCCGTTCTGGTGTGGGGCTCACCGAGAAATCCCGGGCCAGTGTCTCTCTAAGGACACACATCTGCCCGTGTACAGGAGAGAGGCTTTGAAGGCTGTGCAGAGGAGCCTGAGCCTCAGTTGACCGACTTGAGCTACAACCAGCCCTTGGGAACAAACTGAGGTCGTAAGTCAAGGGACCCCTCTGTGTGGAGACCAGGATTCAGCTGCTGGTATTCTGTGTCTGGAAGTCTTACCTATCCAACGGCCAGTCTCAGCCTGGCTCTCCCTGCCTCCTTCCTCCCAGGGAAACCCTCTCCCTGCCTGGGGGAGGAGAGGTGGGAGCCTGAACGTATGCCATACCTGGTGACAGTCCCCACGGGCCTGCGCTGCACTTGCCTGGTGCCTAGAAGGAGTGGACAGGGACCCTAAATGTGTATGGAGCCAGATTGTACCCCAACCTCTTCTCAGTCCCTGCACAGACACCTTGTAGTGTGTCTGAGTACAGGCGTGAGCTCAGGGAACAGATGGATGCACACCCTCCAGCCTCCAGCCATTGTGTGTGCTCCCCCTGGGCCCCCCACCCCCCTGCGCCAGTCCCAGCATCTGGAGATCCGGGTTCCAAGCCTGAGATGCTCCCTCTGAGCCAGAGCCTCTGCCCTCTCACCGGGAGGGGAGTGGAAGGCCTGGGTGCAGGGCCGGAGGCAGGGCAGGGGCCCTTTGGAGTCAGCTCCTGGCTGATGGGATGGCCGGGGCCAGGGCCCGGGGGGAGCACACACAATGGCTGGAGGTTGGAGGGTCTGAAACTGGAGACTTTAATAAAAGCCACTGACAGCAAATAAAGCTGCCAGGGGAGTCCCATTACCCACAACAAGGACCCTTTGTGAGCCAGAAGCTGAACTGGCCCTTCCCCACCAGCCTGGCCGCATCCCACCCATGGGGCCCCAGCTCCCCATCAGGCCAGTGGAGGGCAGCTCGGGTGCCAGTGCACAGGGAGCGCAGCGGACGTTCCCACAGCACGGGAGCCCTTCCCACGTCAAGCCCTGATCATCAGCTGCTGCCCTTGTCCTTCCCACAGCGTCCAGTAAGTTCACTCAGGGCTCCACTAACCCAGGCTAGTGGGGAAGGGAGAGGGAGGGGCTGGACCACCAACCCGGCCTGATCCTAATCGGACCCGGGATGGCTCTGCTCCCCTCTGGACCCCCAGCTGGCCCCATAACAGGTTATATTAGGAAGGCCGTGGCACCAGGTTGGGTCCTGGATCTGCTGCTTGTCAGTTGTTTGATAAAGAGTAAGTCGTTTCTCCTCTTGGAGCCTTAGTCCCCTTATATCTAGGGTGGGACTAATTTAGAATTGTCCCCTTGATGGTTAATGACCTGATAAGTCTAACCCTTACCAACCAGACACCGCACAAAGGTCGTTATAACCACTCACTTTCCCCAACCTGGAACCAAACTGTGACGTGAGCCCTGATCCCCTCTGCTCCTGCTTTCCATCCTGATAATGACGCGAAGTGCACAGGAGGCTTCAGGGGAAAATGGAAGAAAACTGCGGCTCGCGTTCTAACCCTTGACCTTGGCTAAGCAGCCCAGTCGTTGGGGGAGCCCTGTGGGGGAGAGGCAGAGTGGGGGTCATAGCACCACTTGGAGTTTGGAGCAGGGCAGGACGCAGGTTGAAGACGTCTGGAGGGTTCACATTTAGAGCTGAAGGTGCAGAGGGAAAGTTTTCTGAACCCAGGCAAGAGGTAGAAAATGCGCAACCCACACATTTTGGGGTTGCTGGTTCAGGGGCAAGGTGGGTCTCGAGGTGGGGCTTCACGCGGGTCAGAAGGTGGGGTCCGCCCTCCCAGCGCCCTCCCAGTCCAGCAGGAGGGGATTCTGGCACAGGGCGGGCGGGCGGGAGATTAGGAGGCCTCTCAATTGCCTTAATGGGCTCTGAGAGGCGGGATCCTATTACAGCTCGGGGTGCCCCGGGGTGCCTTGCTGGGAAGACAAGCTAATCTGCCATGCAAATTAAATCCTGCCTCAAGACGCAAGGCCTGCTTAATGTGATCCATTACACAGTTTACTTGTTTATATCTAATATTGGAACAGGCAGCCCGGGCGGGCGGCAGCGGCAGGCGGAGCGGCCCAAAAGCAGGAGAGTAAATTACCAGCAAAATGAGCTTTTCCAGCCTCAGCCACTGCCACCACCCGCCCGCCCAGCTCTCTGGCTCCCTGGCCCAGGCCCCCGCCGCCGGCAGCGTCCCCTCGAGCCTCTGGCTGCCCCGCTTTTCCCAGTCGGCCTCCCAGCCTCCTCTTAGTCGTTCGTTCTCTCTTCTCTGGGTCTCCTCGCTCCCCTCTCAGCAGTCTCTGGCTCTCTCTTGGGCGCCCTGCTGTCTCTTCTCCACATGGCTCAGTCTCCTCCTGAGCGGGGCATGCGGGTCTCCTGATGCGGGTGTGGCAGAGGGGTGAGGCCTGGCCTGGGTTGGGCTCAGAGAGCTTGGGCCTCGGCTTTGCTCGGACACCGGCCCGATTGTGAGGGTGTGAGGTGGCCGTGGGGCGTGGATCTGGGAAGCGCCAGTGGGACTGGGTGTGGCCGGGTGTGCCTGTGTGAGTGAGCACGGGCGCGCCAGGACCCGCCTCTGAGCCGGGGGCAGGCTTTAACCAGCCCTGGACAGCTCCCCCGGCCGCCCACAGGCCCTCAGGGGAGCCTCCGGGCGCCCGCTGCCGCCTCCTCACCCTTGCTGCTGCTGGAGCCGCTCTGGGCCGTCCGCGCCCGGCTCACCTGTCCGCCTGCCCTGCCCTCCCCTCCCCTCCCCCGGCCAGCCCCTCCCCGGCGTGGCCCTGCGCCCTCTGTGGAGAACCCTCCAAGTGGACAGCTCCGGGCCCAGGCTGAGGCCTCCGGAGAGTCGGAGGACAAAACAGGGCCAGCAGCAGCCAGGGCGGAGGCACAAGTGGAGGTGAGCCGGGCAGCCAGCAGGGCAGGCAGGGAGGGCGAGCGGGTGGAGACAGGCTCAGGCGAGCGAGTGGGAGCAGGGGGAGCAGCACAGCCGAGCGAGCGTTCCTGACTGGAGCTCGTGCTCCTGCTCACCAGGCCTGGGTGACCCCCGGGGGTCACTGCGGGCTCCAGCTTGGGGCTCAGGGACGTGTGGCCCCGCCTCTGGGCCGGAGGGGGAACTGCCCTGTGGCCTCAGCTGCGGGAGGTGAGTGAATCCATCCCAAGGCTCTGGACCTGTGCAGGTGGGCCCAGGGAGGGCGGCGGCACAACCCCAACCGGGCCGCGGTGTGCACAGCTGCTGCTCTTGAGCCTGCCCACAATGTGTGCAAGGTGCACGCCCACGCACGCCCACGCACGCACGCACGCACGCTCGCCCGCCCGGCTGGAGGCTTGGCAGGGAGGCCCGGGCCCTGGCCCACAGCCCCTGCGCGCCCCCCGCAGACCTCACGCTCAGGCCTGCTGGTGCCTTCACCTCCTGGCCCTGCGGTCCCAGTCCTCAGCCCCCGACTCTGGTCCCCCGGTTCCTTTGGTTCCCGTGGACCCCGGAAGCCTTGACCTTTGCCTCTGAGCACAGGTCTTCCCGGCCCGACCCCTGGCCCTGGCTGGGCAGGGGTCCTGTGGGTGGAGGGCAGGAGGGAAGGTGTGAGTCTGTGTGTCTGTGTGGAACGGGGGCTGTTTAGATAAACAGATGGCAACAAATGGTATAAAATTATATACCCATAATGTCAGTTCATAACATTTTGTTCGACATACTTGATTTAATCGCTTAGCTGACGATTTGGCTTTTGGGCCCATATGGTGGGGAATGAAGCTGCGTGGCACCCGCTCCAATCTGGCTCTTTTATCACCGAGGCTGAGGGGGCGGAGACGGGGGTCGGCTGGGGGAGGAGAGCGGTGCAGATGGAAAGAGAAGGAGCGGATGGGAGAAGGGCTGGGAGGGGCGGCTGCCGGGACTGGCCGAGGGGACTGTCCCTGGCAGGACCACTCTGGAGCCTTGGGGGGGCGTTTCCGCTGGGATGCAAGGACTGTCCCCAGAGGACCCGGCCCCAGCTCTGCTCTGCAGCCCAGGAGCCGGATGCTGTCTTTTTCTGTCTTCAAAACCCAGAACCACCCAGACCTCTGGAGCAACCGATCCTGTCGCTGCGGCAGAACCTAATAGTGTGCGTGTGCGTGTGCGTGTGCGTGTGCGAAGAGTCCGCAGGCTGTGAGGAGCTGGTGTGAAGGATTTTGCCTTGTCCTTTGCCCAGCTTCTACTCCAAGCAACGGTGGGAGGGTGCGAACAAGTGTTGGCCGCTTCTGAGTGTGACTGCGTCGCGCCGTGAGACTGTGAGCGATGTGCGCGCGTGAACCCGAGTGTGGGTGGTGGCGGACGATGGCCAGGTGTACTCCAGGGACCAGTGGGGCTGGGGCTTTTCGGGCCGGCAAGCGCGCAAGAGTTTGTCTTGGCTGAGCGGTGGCGCACGGAGGCGCTCCAGGAGTGTTGTGAGTGTGTGTGCACCGACTCACGGAGGCTTCTTCTGGGTGTGAATACCGGGCAGGGAAATGGCATGTGTGTGGCTGCCCACTCTGCAGCTTCGCAGACAGAAGTCAGCCCCTGGCAGGCACCCTCTTGACTCTGAGGCCGCAGCTCTGTGGCTGCCAGGTGCTACCCACAGGGCTACCCTCTCCCCTTCCAGTCCAGTCTGCCTTGCCCGGCGCGCCTCCTCCAGCCTCAGAGCCGTGCCAGCCCCGCAAGCAGCAAATCTGGGCCCGAATCAGTGCCCATCACTGGCTTTGCAGCCTCATCTGCCCCCTGCTGGGCGTTGCCCGCTGGCTCCAGAACGGGTGGCTGCGGGCCTGGGGTGGGAGCCTGCGCCCCTCATCCACCTCCCTGGGACCCATTCCCCAACGCCAGTGTGGGATTTGTGTGTGCTGAGGCTCCGGGCTGTGCTGGGGACTTGCTGCTGGACTGCCTGCTTGCATCTCTGCTCCTGACTCTGCCTCCCCCTTGGCATTCTTTCTGCCTCTGCCTCTCTTCTCCATTTCTGCTCCTCCTTCCGTCTCCTTGTCCTGTTCCTAGGCCACACCTCTGAGACTCTGAAAGGGCAGATAAGGATGGAGCTGTAGCTGGGGCATAGGCCTCTGGACGGCCCTCTCCATTGGCTAGTCTTACTACCACCTTCCCTCAAAACAGCAGGAAGGCCTTGGGGTGGGCAGGAGGTGGGAACACAACAGGGCCGTGCATGGGGAAGGGCATGTGCCCCAAGCCACACCTGGCTGCCACGCCATTCAGTCATTCATTCACTCAGTCATTCAATCAGTAATCATGGGGCCAAGCACTGTGCTAACGCAGGCGAGCCGTACTCAAGGGTCTCAGCTCTGTAAGGGAGACAGGTGTAGGAAGTGGGAAAGAGGTTCCAGTGAGGCCCAAGACAGGCTGATTCTATGGGGCAGAGTATGGGAGCCTGGGGAGAAGCACTAGGGAGAAAGCATTGTCAGGTCCATTAAAAACATTTTGCTTTTTGCAGAGTGCTTAGAAAGCACCACAAAGCTCAAAGGAAGAGTAAAAGATGAAACAGAATTCATAAAGAAAATTTCAGGGAGTCTTGAGCGATCACAGAGTTTGCCGGAATGAACAATGTGGGGATGGGCAAGCCAGGGTGCGGTGGGGTTCAGAGAAGAGCATTCTAGGAGGAGGCAAGGGCCCCGCCTGAGCTCAGGGTGCTCGCAGTTGGAAGAAGTCGCTGTGACTGAAGCCGGCTGGGCTCTGCTGTGAAGCCCTGAGGCGCCACCCCGAAGGGCAGTAAAGCGACGAACGGTGCGATTGCATTTTCTTCTTTAGAGCAACTGTTCTGGAAGGTGCATCGGAGGTGGCTGAGATGTGATGCAGAGAGAGCCGCTAGGAAATCACTACCAAGTGCTGAGCGTGTAGTACAGTGGGTGAGCGAAGAAGGGAACCCGATGTGAAGACGGAAGGAAGAGCGACGCAGCCGAGCCGGAAGTGGGGGCCACACCCAGCCCAGGCTTCTGGCTCGGTCAGAGGTGCGGCTGGCTGCGGTGGCCTTCACTGAAAAGGGGATTGGAAGAGAAGCAGAATTGGGGTGGGGTGCGGGAAGGCTGGACGTGATGCGTGTGCCGTGAGGACGTCCACGTGGGAATGCCGAGCTGGGGACGCAGCTTTGGGAGCCGCTGCTCCTTTCTCGCGTCAGTCGCGTGTCCACTGAGGGTCAGCCCTAGAGGGTGTGGGCGTGGCAGGGGGACCTGGGCCGCCCCCGCCCTCTCCGTTGGTGGGGGTCACAGCCAGTGGGGAGGTGGCCCTGAAGCCAGGAGAGCAGAGGGGTCCCGAGAGGAGAAGGCCTGGGACATCCGTTTGCAGGGCTGGCGGCGGGCAGCAGAAACAGGCCTCTTCCTCCGAAGGCAGAAGGCAGCCGGTGCCCCGGCACATTACCTTCCTAGGCCCGCCCGGCTGGGTCCTCCTGGGGTCCCCTGCCACAGCCTCTCCTGGAAGTCTCCAAGCAGTTGAGCTCCTTCCTGTGTTGGCCCTGCTCCCCCAGGCATAGGAGAAAAGGAGTCCAACAAATGGGGTTTCTGCCCAGGTTGCAGACCCCTGACGTGGGTGGAAAGAAATCGAGGCTTCTTGCTGCATCTTCAAAGCCCTCCAGGCCCGGGCCCGCCCAGTTCCCAGCCTCATCTGCTGCAGCCCTCCCTCTCGGACCTGCCTGCTGCTCGAGCGCTCTCTCAGTGCCATCTCCCTCTTCAGCCAGCCCGCCCAGCTACATTGCGATGGTCTGGGAGCTTCTCCTGGCCCTCTGGAGCCCCGGGGTCCTCCCAAGGGCTCTCCTCTAGTCTGACCTTTCACGTCCGCTCAAACCCACACTGAGATCCTGCCCCTCGGGGTGGTGGTACTGGGAGGTGGGGCTTGGGGAGGTGGTTAGGTCCTAAGGGTGGAGCCCTCATGAGAGAGGAGACCCCAGAGCTAGCGAGTCCCTTCCACCGTGAAGGTCACAGCCAGAAGAGGGTGCATCCGTGAGGAAGCAGGCCCCCACCGACTCTGGGCCTGCTGCCTCCTTGGCCTCGGACACCCAGCCTCCCTGACTCCTGACTGGGAAATTTCTTTCTGTCTGTCTGTCTGGCTGGCTGTCTCTTTCTTTCTTTCTTTCTTTCTTTCTTTCTTTCTTTCTTTCTTTCTTTCTTCCAGTGAAATTGATTTCTGTTGTTTATAAAAATCCAGTTTGTGATATTTTGTCATAAACAGCCTAAGACCCCCCCCCCATACTGGGAATCGAACCCAAGAGGGAGCACTGAGCTATATCTCCAGTCCTTTCAATTTTGAGACAGAGCCTCTGTAAGTTGCCCAGGCTGGTTTCAAACTTGGAATTTTCCTGCCTCAGCCTCCCAAATAGCTGGGATTACCGGCATATGCCACTATACCCAGCTACAGTTTCCCTTTCAGAAGACCTTATTAACTCATATTGTCCTTTTGCACGACTGTATAAGGAAACCTTTAGGGCAGGGCTTGGTTTTTGCCTGCTGATAGCTCCAGTGCTCAGAATAGTTCTGGGAGTGTACTAGGTGCCCTAAGGTTGGGTGGTGTGTTAGCGTTAGCCCAGCTGTGAAGATAGGGTGGGCTTGGGGTAGCTGGGTGTGGGCAGGGCCGGTGGCAGAGGCAGGGCTGGCAAAGGGAGCTAGGTGTTTAGGGTAAGGAGCGTGTCAAGGCCGGGCTGGTGGTGGGTGGGAGGGGCCTAGGGCAGAGCTGGTGTGGGCACAGTGCCGGGTGCCGGTGGACGTCAGAAAGGCCATGGTGAGTGGTGCTCGGTGAGCAGGTGATGGGGGGTCAAAGAAAGGGGCTGGGGGTTTGGGGCACGGGAGCAGGGAGGGCCCCACAAGACCTCTCCAGGGCTCTGACTTCAGTGCTGCTGACCCAGCGCTTCCTCAGTGGCTGGTGTCTCCCCAGAAGGCGAGGAGGAGAGAGGAGAGCCTGGGAGAAGAGCCTAAAAGGGTGAAGAAGGGTTTTCATTATGAAGTTAATTAGCTTCAGAGCCGCTGCACCTTTCAGGACGAGGAATTAGAGGGATTTAATTGCTTTATCAGCCTTCCCTTTGATTTTCAGCAATCAGGCCGATTCCATTTAATTTAACTGCCACAGACGAGGAGAAAATTGATGCGCTCACCTGCCTCGGAGCAGAAAGAGAGCGCGGGGAAGAGGAGAGGGAAGCCAGAGAGACTGGCAAACACAGAGCCTGCAGACTCATGAAAACTGACAGCATTTGCTCTCAATCGGGGATGAAGTGTGCCCCGAGGTGGGGGAGCCGTGCATGTGGTGTGCGTGTGGTTCTGTGAGCTTGCGTGTTGGCAGTGTGGGACTTGTGACAGTGCATGTTTGCACGCGTGGTCGGCGTGAGGTGGCTGCCATTCAGCTGTAGCAAGTGACGCAGGAGACAGGCGACTGACTGTCAGAGACGCCGTGTGTGTTCAATGACAGCAGGAGTGCGGATGTCTTTGCCCTCGTAACCGCAAGCACAGAGACTGTGTGCGTGCTGTGGCAGGCACATCTCCAAGTTCCTCTGTTCAGGAAGTGATGAGGAACTCCTGCTGAGCCAGGCTCGGTGCCACGGGGACGAAGATGACGGAGATTCACATCTAACAGGGAGACAGCCTGGCAAACAGTGTTGGGCCTACAGCAAGTGCTGCATGGGTTGCTTTGGAAGGCCTCTCAGAGAGAGAAGAAAGTTTCCAAGTACATAAGGGCCAGCTGGGTTTGGGGTATAGGAAGGACACTGCAGCTAGATCAAACAGCGTGGGCAGAATAAGAGGAAGCTGGGGTTGCCCAGAGAAGAAAGGGCTCTGATCGTGTTAAGAAATGATCCCGTGGGGCATTTCAGGTGAATAATGGTCAGATATGCGCAGTAGACATACTGCTCTGGCAGAGAAGCAAGACCAGCAGCAAGGGAAACACTGGCAGCCATTCTTCAAGGCAGAGGAGAGCCTATGAGGGTCTGAGGGCGAGGGGCTGGACTAGGTAGAATGAGCTGCACAGAAGAGAGGGTTGACTGTTTCTGGACAGCAAGGTGGGCGACTCCTTGTGAACTGGAGGAAGAGCAAGTTGGGGTGAGGGGATGACTTGGTCCTGAACATGTGGAGTTTGGGCTGCTCAGGATATCCAGGCTGAGGGACTGCGCAGGCACTGGAGCGTGGGGTGAGCGCAGCAGAGTGCTGGCCTGGAGACAAAGTGGGGGGACTGTCAATGTGTGGAGGCGGTCCAGAGCGCTGCAGGAGCCGAGGAGACACCCAGGGAGCTCAGGGACCAAGAGAAAGGAGGTCAAGGGCAGAGCCTGGCGACCACGCATGTGTGTAATCCTGGAGGAAGGAAGAGAAGCGGGAGAGATGATGACAATTCAGACAAAACAGGAAAACTGAAAGTTGAGAAGGAAAAAAGCATCATAGAGAGGTTGAGTTTGGTCTGTAGAGCTCTTGAGTTTGGGGTTTGCTATGAGAAATCCACACAGGATGTCCCGTGGGCAGGGTCTAGAGCCTTGGCAATGCTGGTGCCCAGGGAAAGGAGATGGAGCAGGCCATGAGATGGGCAGAGTGAGCTGGGCTGTGCAGGGCTTGAACAGCAAGCGGTAAGTTGGTGCTCTAACCTTGACCATCTTCAGGAAGGGTGATGACTCAGTCATATCTGTCATTCTGTTTTGGTCTGATTTTTTCTGAAATCTGAGCTCGAGGCAAGGCCGGGTGAAGGCAGTGCTTTGGGAGGAGATTCCAGGCGGAGGCGGCGAGGGGTGGGAGGCACCACAAAGAGGGAAGCTGGCTGCCACAGTGGGCAACCGAGGCTCAAGCTTGGGTGCCTGCAGAGCCATGCACTTCCGGACTGAGCCTCTGGAGGACAGGAGGCCTCGGCTCCCTTCCCGTGAATGCTGCCGTCGGTCGGGGCCCTGCTATTGCTTCTCCTGGGCTGGCAGCACTGATACCAGAAGTGGGCCAAGAAGAAGTGCTAGGGGCAGGTAAAGAGAGATTCTGCAGGCACTTGGGAAACGGACCGGTGCAGGAGAGGCTGGAAGAGACTTGGCAGCGAGGAGATGATTGTAATGTCTGGAAAATCCAAGATGGAGAAGTAAAGTCTGACAGAAGGAAGCTCTGTCTTGGAGGTGTAGAACCAGCTGGGCCCGTAGATAAATTTGATGTCTATACCCTATTCCCAGGAACCCGTAACCATTAAGTTACGGAGCGAGGGGGAATTAGGGTTGCAGGTGGAACTGAGGTTGTTAATCAGCTCCAGGAGATCCACCCTGGATCTGAATGAGTCCAGGGTACACAAGTAAAGGTCAGAGGTGGCAGGGTCTGAGTTTAGGGAGAGGAGACTTGAGGGCCCTGAGCTGTGGGAGGCAGGCGGTCTCTAGAAGTCAAAAAGGGCAAGGGAATGGGCTCTCCCTGCGCCCCCCAAAGACAGCATTGCCGACTGGTTGACTGGAGTGAGAGGCCTGTCCAAGACTTCTGACGACCACAGCTGAAAGATACGAAGTCTGTGTTGTTGTTTAAGCCTCTAGGTTGGTGGTACTTGTTATAGCAGCAACAAGAAACAAAAAAATCTAAGAAGGAACTCTCGAACAACTGCCAAGATTTCTAGTTTGGGCCAGACAAGAAGGACTTTATTGAGAAAGAGAAGAGAAGTGAATTTGGGTGAGAGGGCCCTGGCTGATTCCACCGTATCCTTCTGTCACACCAGCCCCCTGTGTGGTACTGTCCACACAGGATTGAAGCCAGGGCACAGGAAGATTTGGGGAGGGAAGTGGACCCTTGTCAATGTGGCGGTGTTTGCCGCTGAGGAAGCACGGATGAGGCCAGGGCTGTGGGCTGCCAGTGAGCTGTAGCTGGGGAGACCTTGCTGCTGTGGGGGTGCTCTGCTGGTCTCTGTGTCCTTTCCTGAGTCCTCTGAGTGCCAGTGGTGGTTCTGTACCTCTGTTCTCTCTCCTCCAGTCTTCTTGCCACCCCAGGCACCTGGTTTCTTGGGAGGTGGCCTGCAGGGCGCCTCTGGTCTGTTGTGTGGGGTGCACATGGCATCACCCTGAGGGCGTCGCGCGCAGACTGCAGCATGGACTGTCCGTACCCAGCTGCCGAGACCATGTGAAAAGGAAGAAGAAACGATACATGTGGTGGGTGTGTTTAAGCCACGGGCAACTGCACTCTGTTTTGCCTCCTACTATTGCTCCAGGACCCGAGCCTGGGCCAGCATTCAGGATGCACAAGGGCTCCAGACCCAAGTCCCCGGCAGAGCGGGTGGCCCTGGATGAGGCCCACAGGCCTGGCCCAGAGGGCGGGGAGGGCAGCTCTTCCCCTGCCCTGCACCCCAGCCCTGTTGACTGCCTTTTGATTAGGGTGTGGACTCTAACTTGGAATTAACCTGATCAGTGTGACGAAGGCAGGGCCTGCTCGGTGCTGCCCGTGCTGAGGGGAGATGGATTGGGGGTGAAGGCGCTGGCATGCAGGCGCGGCCGTAACTGCTGCATTCGCTGCTCCCTCCCTGCCTTGCTGACCCCGCTGTTTATCCCATTAATGGTGGCACACAGGCCTCACTGTCCAGAGGTGATGACAGAGGACCTCGGGGGAGGGGAGGGGCGGGGCCCCGGGCTTGGGGTCTGAGCACAGAGGGGACGGAGTGCGTCAGTGCAGGACAGGGGCTCGCTCCGGGCCCCTGCTCCCTCGGGGTGACGCCCAGCCCTGGGCTTTGAGGAGGGGCTGCTACAGCGGGCAGCACTGCTGCCCCCCAGTTCAGGAGGGTTTCCTGTAGGAGGGATCTCAGAAAGGGGAGAGGAAGACCAGAGCGTGGGGAGGCGCTGAGCATCAGCCTGAGGCAGACTGGAGAGCACGTGGGATCAGGCAGAGTCTCTGGGGCAATGACAGGCACGCATTGGTAGCCCGAGCCCAGAGAGCCCCTGCGGAAGGCAATAGGACGCCTCGCCACAAGGGGATGACGCCTCACTCGCCTCAGAGAAGACACCCGAGCACCCTCATTCGGGAACGTTGGGGTTTGCTTGGGGAATGTTGGAGGCGCGTGGTCAGAGCGGACTTGGGTGGGCCCGGTGGGCCTGGCTGGGCAAGGTGGGTCCCGGGGGTGTGACCTGGAAGGCCTTCGCCCTCCTCCGCCTTTCACTT